AAAATACTGCTAAGAAGATATCGCAGAACCATGAACCTGCTTGACTCTGTAAAAATTATTAGAAATAACAAATGTCCTTGACAGTGAGACTGGCATTAATGGAGCCCCTGCTCTGTCTGCCTCTGCAGGAAATACCTTGCAGGATAGGAAGACATATGAATTTTTTTTTTTGGTACCAGGGATTGAACTCAGGACCTTGTGCTTGCCAGGCAGATGCTGTGCCCCTGAGCTAACCTCATATTGATATAGGGTGTATGATATATGGACCTCCAAATGGTACAAGGGAAATATTGTAACTCCCAACCTGTTAGACATCTGAAACACCAGGTTTATGTTCTCTAAAATTGAGGAATGAATTCTAGGAACAATGGAGGTTGAGAGTAGGAAAAATTTATTGAGAGAAAGATAGCTTTGGCTTGGAAAGTGGATTACCTGAGGAACTCACTTCTCAAGTGTTTTTGTTCTTTTTTGGTTTTTTTGGTACTGGGGATTGAACTCAGGACCTTGCGCTTGTCAGGCAGCTGGAGGTATCACTGAGTTAAATCCCTGGCCCTCATGAGTGTTTTTCATTGTGCAAAGCCATGAGGGCTCAAGGTGGGATAAAACTATAGTCAACCAAGAAGATTAAAGTATAGTTAATTTAGGTAAGTAGTATTGATTAAATGGGGATTGAGTGAGGAAGCAAGTCACTACCAAGTTTACAAGTGGACCAAACAAGGATTTCCCTTAAAGGAATGGCCTATGGAGGTTTTGGTTCCTGCCCAAAGTGATCTATGTCTGTTTAGAAAGTCAATCACTGCTGTTTCTCCCTAGGGGAAGTTTGTGGGGTATAGTTGTTCCTCTTTTTCTTGAAGCCTGGCCTACAGTAAATGTGAGGAAGTGAGGGCCCAGCCCTGTCAATCTGCCTGTAATAGTCATAACTAACTTAGCTGTCTACAATATGATAGAAGACATTTTGACGTAGGAATGATATTGTTATAAAGAATCCCCTTGTCCAAGGTCCTGAGTTCAATACCAGGTACCAAAAAAAAAAAAAAAGAATCCACTTGTCAACAAGTCTCTTTGTTTATTGCAGTTAACAGGGACTAGAAATGAGATTTTAGCAGCTAGCTGGGAAAAGCTGAGTTTATCACATCTGAGTGTGGATGGGCTGACAATGAGAGAGACAGTGGCAGCTAGCTGGGAGAGATTACATTCCACTGGTGGATGGGCTAACACCAGGGGAGAGAGATATTAGCAATTAACTGTGAAAGGAATTAGGCTTAGGTAGGTATTGAAGGGGCTAAGGAATCTGGGGTGACATATTTATGACTTAGCTGCCCAAGGACAGTCTGCTCAGGTATGCATACAATTACTGGACTGCTCAGTGTCAGAGGGTCATAGACCGTATTTTCTAGTCAATTTGCCTAACTTACTGGGAAGCTCCTGTTATTTGTTAAAAGCAGTCTGTTTATTTTTCCTGCTGATTTAGGGCAGGCCTGACAGATAAAAGGGAATTAAGTATAACTCCCAACCTGCTAGATGTGGGATGTGCTGAGTTCGTGTTTTTCAAAGTCAAAGAATGAGTTTTTTGGGGCGGGGAATTTAGCTCAGTGGTTCTAGTGCCTGCCTCGCAAGTGCAAGGTCCTGAGTTCGATCCCCAGTACAAAAAAAAAAAAGAATGAATTTTTTTCTTTTTAACATACACTAAAATTTTTTACTTCACCTTTTCATTAATAAATTTTATTAATTTTTATAAATTTTATCGAGCCCCCTCCTCTCCCTATGTACAAGTTTTGTTTCCATTTTTACCTCGAAGAATGAATTTTAAGGAACAACAGAGGTTAAGGGTAGGAAAATTTATTGAGAATAGGAATAGGGAGTAAGAATGGAGAATAAGAGGGCCGGGGATTTAGCACCGTGATTCTGCCACCTGCCTCACAAGCACAAGGTCCTGAGTTCTATCTCCAGTACCAAAAAAAAAAAAAAAAAAATCAAAACAAAATAATAGTATCCTATCAGCAATGAAAAGTCTTATAATGAGCAAATTAAATAAATGAACTTACATAAACATATGAGTGCAAATGGTAATTTTTATTTCTTTAGTATTTATTTATTTGATCATTG